TGTTTTTCAGTCACAACCTCTTATTTTAACATGATTTTTCTTTTGATGGTCGATCAGAATCTCTTTCAGTGCACTTCCCTTCCAGATGGAGAAGTGATCTGTGACATTTCATTCTGTCTCCACACAGCAAAGCATTGCAGTCCTGGGGAGGAGGAAGAGGAGGAAAAAACTTAAACATTCAATTAGTCTGTTTCCTGTTGTCTTTTTCACTTGTGCTTGGCTGTGGTTGGTAATGGGTAGCTGTTATGGGGGTGTTGGGTGGGTTCTCATCTGCCTACAGTTCCAGTTTTGAAACCAGAGTCATACCTGGCACAGTGAACCCTCCCTTTGAACCTTTCTGCAGTTGTTGGTTGGCTCTCTGCTCAAAGGGAAATGTCTGCAGGATTTAGTCCTCTCTGTTTTCTGTCTGTGTCCTAAGCAGCACAATCCATGGGAGAACATGGTGAAAATCCCTGTGGAAGTCTCCAGATGGGGAAAGGACTTCAGTACAGAGTGATAAGGCTCCTTTGAGCTGCAATTTTACGTGTATTCCAGTTGCTGGTGCAGGGTCCTTAGTCACCATGAGGCTGAGCTTTCAAAGTTGTCTTGAGCAGCCCTTCCATGAACTCCATTACTGCTCCTTGAGTCTTGACTGCTTGTGAGTTTGAGCTGAGACTCTGTGCAAAGTATCTTGGAAAATCTTTTTGTCAGAAACTTACAGTTTTAAACCAGGGTCTGTATTTGCACCTGAAATTTCTGAGTCAGTATCTAAAAAACTTGAAAAAACATTGCAAAGTTTTGGCCTATTGGATGGGAAAAAATCTCCTAAAAGACTAACAGGCTTTGGGCCCAAATGCTGGGGAGCACACAGCTCTGTAAATCAAACCTATGAGCATAATTTGACCCTAATTTGACCACACTTGTATTCCTGCTATGGGAAACATGAGATGCATAACTTAGTCTGCCTTAATTTTAAGTACCCACTTATATTCAGGGATGAGCTGGAGTCATATGAGGAGTGGCCGCAAGTAGATTTCCTTCAGGAACCTTTGCAAGTGCCATGTTTGAGAGGAGCACAGTGGCTTTGTGGCTTGTCAGATTGCTGACTGCTGCTGGGGAGTAGATGAATGCCAGAGGGGCTCAGCTCTTGTAAATGGTCTCATTGACTCTGTTCCAGGATGATTATGGATGATCAGTTGAAGTTGGCTGTGACCTGCTGGTTTTCAGATTCATCTGCTAACATGTGGCCACTCCCCTGCTAGTTGAGCACACTGACTGTGAGCTGTGTGGTTGCACAATGGAGTTAAAGCTTCTGGTTAAGAGGAGCTTCACTCTTGTGTTGGAATGGGTCTCATGTTTTGTACAGAGCTGTCTTCTTTGCAGTAAGCAACAGAGCAATGGTCACAGCTTTGTGTCTCTGTCAGTTAAGGTGAAGCTTGGCTGAGTGATGTCCAGTTTTGGGCAGAAACCGTGAAAGTAAAGGGTGGGTTTCTCTTGAATCCTGTGCTCAGTTCTGGGCCCCTCAGTTCAGGAGGGACATTGAGGGGCTGGAGCAGGTCCAGAGAAGAGCAACGAGGCTGGGGAAGGGACTGGAGCACAAGTGGCATGAGGAGAGGCTGAGGGAGCTGGGGGGGTTCAGCCTGGAGAAGAGGAGGCTCAGGGGAGACCTTCTCACCCTCTGCAACTCCCTGACAGGAGGTTGGAGTCAGGTGGGGGTTGGTCTCTTCTCCCAGGCAACCAGCAGCAGGACAAGAGGGCACAGAATCAAGCTCTGCCAGGGGAGGGTTAGGTTGGATATTAGGAGGAGATTTTTTATGGAGAGAGTGATCAGGCCTTGGAATGTGCTGCCCAGGGAGGTGGTGGATTCACCATCCCTGGAGGTTTTCAAGCTGAGACTGGATGTGGCACTTAGTGCCATGGGCTAGTAACCACGGTAGGGTTGGACTCAATGATCTTTGAGGTCTTTTCCAACCCGGTTGATTCTATGATTCTTATTTGGGGAATTGTAGAGCACTTGGAAAATCCAACTCGATTTTAGTGTCCCTGTCACTAAAGATGTTGTTCCCAATCTCTGTTTTCCTAGGTGAGGATCGCATTGATGTCCTGTCTGAAATCTGGGATCACTATTTTACAGAGACTCTTCCTACACTCCAGGCAATATTCTACCCAGTTCAGGTAAGCTTAATTAAATTCAGTCAGGTGAAGCAATGTAACTGCAGTGCCTGCTAATGGCACTTGGAAACTTGTCTGCCAGCAGCACTGCTTGGCCAGTGGCTAAATAGGTGTCAAAACCTTTAAACTAAATCTGGGAGGAACTAGAGTTTGTCCAAGTCAGCATTAACTGTATAAGAAGGTCTGCTAAAATCTACTGGACAAGCTCAGTGTTTCAGGCTGAATTTATTCCCATTTTATGCCCTCTGTCTGTGCTTAGCTATGCTTGAACAATAAAACTGTTGGACTATACCTTGTCTATACTGAAGCTCTGGGCTATTGGTATGTGTAGTTCTTCCATTTTAAGTAGCTGGGACTGTTGGTGCAGACACAATGCTGACAACTTGTCTTCAGAGGGACAAATCTGAAGACTAGATCAGGAGCAAATGTGTTCAACTCACCCTAACTACTTTTGAGGGGCTTATATCCCACTTGTGCCTTTGGGAAATCCTCTGTTGGGTTTTTTTAAGCTTTAATAAGGGCACAAGTAAATCCATGGGTAGAGGATGAATGAACAACTTTATGTAAGACCTTTTTACACTGGGAATTTTAGAAGCTGAGTATCCCATCAGAATTGTTGACCTGTATCAATTTTTAATGTAGTTTTAGTCAGGATTTCCATACAAGCAGTTTAATTACCACCCCAGCCTATTTTGATCTTTTCTTCCATAAGAGGAAAAGAAAAATGTACTTCATGGGGAGAATGATGTTCTTGGAAATGCTAACCTCCTCCTCTTGACTTTTGCCTCTTCCACAAGACATTATTTCCAGAGCCTTTTAAAATGATTTTTCCCTTGTATTGTTTGAAAGGCAGCAGGTAAAGCTCAAAGCTTGCCCTTTCCCTGTAATCCTATTAAAGCTGGCATTTCCTAAAAGAGAAAGGACTTCTGCAAAGACAGACACTAACCTTTCTACTGTGTTTATTTTTGTTCTTTCCTTGCTGCAGATGCTTGAAGGTAGGTATTTGACAGGTAAAACTGCAATTATAATACCCTTTCTGTCTCTCCCTTTGCAACTAATTTGCAGTGAGGGAGTGATCTAATCTGTTTAAGCAGGGGCTTGTCTGCACTGCAGCTATCTGTGCACTGTGGAAACAGTTGGCTAACTCTGTGTCATACCCACTGATGCTAATAATTTTGCCACTCACCAGAAAAAAAATCTACTCCCCTACTATTAAATGTCTCTGATGACAAACTGAACAAAAGTTACAGCACTGTGGGTTACAGCTTTTGGAAGTAACTTGATTATAGTGGTGAAAACATGACTATGGGATGGTGAGATTGATTGAAAGCATAATTTTTTCATTGTATTTGTCTTGTCACAGTGTCTGAGTCACTCAGTATATATCATAGAAGCTGTAAAGTTAGGGAAATATTGCCATTTTATGGATGAGGAACTGAAAGGTAAGAGACAGCATATTTAAAGCTTTGTAGGCACCTAAGTCCTGCACAAATCATAGAATCATAGAATTTAAGGGTTGGAATGAACCTTAACAGATCAGCTAGTCCCAACCCTCTGCCCTGGGCAGGGACACCTCCTCACTAGATCAGGTTGGTCAAGGCTTCATCCAGCCTGGCCTTGAACACTGCCAGGGTTGGGGCAGCCACAGCCTCCCTGGGCAACCTGTGCCAGTGTCTCAACACCCTCACAGGGAAAACTGCCTAAGATCTAGCCTAAATTTCCCCTCCTTCAATTTGAACCTGTTACCTCTTGTCCTGTCACTTCACTGCACCACAAAGAGTCACTCTGCAGCTTCCCTGGAGCATCCTCAGACACTGATGGGCTACTATGAGGTCTCCACATAACCTTCTCTTCTCCAGGCTGAACAGCCCCAACTCCCTCAGCCTGTCCTCACAGGGGAGATGTTCAGTTCTCTTAGCAATTTTCTGGCCTCCTCTGGGCTTGCTCCAACAGTTCCATGTCCTTCTTACGTTGAGGACACTAGAACTGTGTGCAGTATTCCAGGTGGGTCTCAGGAGAGCAGAGCAGAGGGGAAGAATCACCTCTTTTGACCTGCTGCCCACACTCCTTTGGATGCAGCCCAGGATTCTTTTAAATGTCTGGATTTAAGCTGCCTAAATACATCCAAGAATTTGACTCTAAATAAGCTGCCCTAGGCTACAACAGAGAGAGTTGCTGGTACAGCAAGAAACAAGAAATCGCTCTTATCCCAGGCCAATGTCCTAGTAACACGATTGAATCTTCTGTACAAACAGGGAACTGTATGTAACCATTTATATACTGTGTCACAAAATGTGGAGAGAGCTCATCTGACAATTCTCTTTCATCAAGCTGCAGTTCTTCATAGTCTACTCTGGTTGCTGGGAAAGTTAATTTATTCTTGATTCCCCATCCTTTCAGGCAAATGTCAGCATGTTTATTTTACTTGTGCTCTTCTGTGATCAACTGCCCATTCAGAATGAAAGTAAGTCAGCCAAATGTGTGAGCATATGTTACCAAAGGTAGTAACTAGAAGTAGCTTCCTATCTCAGCTCACTTGAAACCTGAGGCTCATAGCTATTGCAGAAATATGACCTTTAAGCAGCCAAGTTGGTTAAATTGCTGTACAGAGGGAAACTATGTAAACAGGTCACTGGCTTTTGTATAGTTGCAGCTGTTGATGTAACCAGTGATGTGGAAAAAAAAGAATAGCAAATCTTGTTTTGTTTGGCACAGAAACATGTTTGCATTTTGAAATGGGGTTTGAAGTTAATGGGACTAAGCTGCATGGTATAAATAAAATGTGTGCAGCTGCTGAAATATGGTTCCAAGGTACATACAGGTCTTTCCTACACCTCCATGTTTCTAAACACACAGTGATGGTTTAAAACAGCAAAGGGCTTTTATTATGGCCAACTGCCCTCCAGGCTATTTGCTTTAATTCATATTTACATATTAATGCTCCTGTTAATTATGACATTAAACCTATTATGAATTAAAAATTAACTGCTCTTAATTCCTTCCAGCTAAATATTTGCCATGTTGAGTGTGTTATGGAGACCATAAAATGATTCCCAAACAGACCATGGGGCAGAGATTAACACACTGAGAGAAGAACAAGACAAACGTTTCAGGCTGGAAAGTGCTGGGCAGGGCTGGGAGGAAAGTTTCTGCTGTCAAGCTGCAGTGAGGCAAAAGAAAGTCATGCAGACATTAAGAATAGCAGAGGGAAAGGTGGTGACATGGGAATGCCAAATGGAGTTTGGCTGTGTTTATAAATATGCTGAAAAATACTACATCATCTTCATCTGCTAAGTCTGCTCACTTGTGTTGTGGATCTAAAAAAGTAATTAGGAGGATGCAGAACACCTTGCAGTGGATATCAAAGCTGTTGCTTTCTCAAATGATGTCTGGTTCAAGCAGTCTTGCTTGCTTTGCTTCAGCCTAAAAATCTGTAATGGACTAAACTGTGGATTTTTCTTGTATCAAAGGTCTAAACTGCAGACATTGAGCAAAAAGTGAATGCAATATAAATCAGAGGTAGGCTAGTTAAGGAATACTCTGCACAAGTTT